GGTCCCGGTCCCGCTTTAAGGGTGCGTGCCCGCGGGCCCGCGCGAAAAAAGACCTATTCTGGACATACACCTAGGATATGTAGTCCATCTAGCTGGATGAGAACTGAAAGGGAACATGATCAGCAAGTAATCAGGTTTCCGTTGAGATGTCCCTAAAACCTGAACCTACACATGGAATGTCCCAGATCCTAACCTTTACAGAATCCCTGCAATCCCCAAAACAGATTCATACCTGCACGTACCCATGTTTATAGCTTTGTGTGATTGGGTCAAGTACAATTTAGTTCTTCCTAGCAGATACCGCAACCAGATAACACAATTTGCTCCAAGCTGGGGAGCAGAATATCCACATTGAGGTAGTGCTACCCATATTAATATGGAGTTTTCCACAAATGAGGGGTCTTCCCATACAACGGATGAAAGTATATTGGAGTCCAGATTGAGGCCCCTCAATTTTTTTTGTGCTGCCCCAGGACTGGCAGGTAGCTGTCGCCGTCAGCCACAGCGGCCAGCGCCGCTGCTAAGACCTGGGCAAGTAAGTCGTGAACGGACATAATGACAGCACTTGCAATTGCAATAATCACCGTCGTAAGTATCATGGTAATACACATCATTAATGCTGAAAATCTGCAAAGAAGGGGCAACTCCTGAATCATTCAGGTTTGGAGTCTTGGGTTGTGTTCAGGGTCATGGGTCTGGGTAGCTGTACTGTGGATGTTCCACACGAGAGTGAGCTTCTCGAACTTTATGTGCCTGTTTTGGTCAGTTGGGACAAGAAGCTGTGAACGTTTGGGGGTATGTGCGGGCCCTAAGTTTGAGGCATAGACAGTCAGACTATCAGCACTTTCAGTACCTGTGTAAGAAACATCATGAGACATCCCCTACCCCCCCAAAACCCAACTCCAATGACTCCGTCTTCTCCATTAAGCTCCCTGTTCCCGCAGTGCTGTCTGCCTAGCGTGAGCCTGGGAAAGAGTTCAAGAATCCGGCGTTTTCTACCTCCGTTTTGCCAGAAACGGTCTGCCCCACCAGCATCAATCCTCAGCCAAACAGGCGAAGCTGCGTTGTGGCCGTTCCCATGCAAGGAGCTAAGAATTCAGCCATGGCGGACCATAATGGTTTCCCATAGCTGAATGCCTGGCTCAACGATCAATCGTCATCCAACAGCACCAGCATCCCATCTGCTCGGTAAGGAAAACATGTGGGAAGTACATTTCTTGACGAAGCCCTCCTCTGGCTGCAGGATCAGGCTCCGTGCCGAGCCCTGCAAGCAAAAGATCTGGAGCAAAGCGTTGGACAGTGCAAGCAGGAAAGACGAAATAAAAGCATAACTTGTTCAAGTATGCAGCCGTGACTTGCATGTCCTTGCGTCTTACAAGGCCTCAAGCTCGTTGATCAGCACCCCATAGTCAGATGGCGGGAGCTCAACCTCTGCTAGAATGTGCGCAGTGGACACCCAGAGCCTCCATGATCTCCTGCCAACGAAGGCTACATTCCAGGCCCCGACTTCTGGAAAGAGATCTCCAGTGATGCCCAGGAAGAGTGGGATGTCGTTGCGTGTGAACTTGGGCAAGTTGACCTGGGCAGAGCAGTGCATCCACTTTAGATGGCAGGAACTCTCTGGGTTGCCCCACATCGTTCAGCGCAGAGAGCGCCAGCACCTTCCCAATTCATTCCATGATATGGTGTTATCAAGAGGTATGAAGAGGTGCTTATTCACAGTCTGCTCCAGGGCAGTTTTTCACCTCCTGCAGCAACCTTCCTCCCCTTTGAGAACTCATGACGGTCATCAGATACAAACTGGGCTACATGTGATTTGGGTTTACTGTCCTGCCGAACCTGTGCTGTGTGATACAAAACATTCCGAGGGCCAAAGTGCTGCTTCATGCTTCGACAAGAACTAGAGAGTAAGCAGAGCAACAGTCTCCAGAGCCCTAGTGGCACACGGCAGGAAACCAGAGTTGGACCTGTAAAAACCAAATCTGGGCTTAGTATGTCAGCTTCACGTGAGTTGCTGCCTGCTCCGGGCGGCTACCACCATACTGACGCCGGAGAGCTCCAGCCTGCAGGCGGGTGTTCTAATTAGAGCCGTTGTCCTCCTGTCGTTTTTTCTGAGGCCGAAGCTCTGACGAGTATTGACTTGAGTGCCCGCATGCCGAAATCATAGTGCTCCTTCAAACATGGTGCGAAGCAGGCAGCCGCCGACAGTACACTACAAGTAGCTCATGCTGAAGATGATGCAGCAAGATAAGCCCAGAGTTTTAAGTCAAACAGGCACCTGGGAGGACAGCTGCTCCGAGCTCAAACGCAGACTGCCCACTGCCTGGACGTAAGGCCCTTGACCAAAGACTTGCAAGGCTGAACACGTTATAAAAAAAAAAGCGGGCATCCCACCTTTCTGGCAAGATTCTTGGCATCTTCAAATCCTCAGCAAAAGAAACGACCCAGGCTGCTAGAAGCACTGGACCAGATTAGTTTGCCAAAAGTTGCGGATGAGCATCCATTGGAGTAGAGGACGATCTCGCCAATCAGAGCATAGTCAGGGACCTGAGCACTCCAGACCCTCAACTCTGGATTCCGGATGAGTGGATTACGGCCAAAACTTCAGAACTGTTGGAGATCACTAAAGGCTCTGGCCATCATTGCGCATGGTCGGAACAATGCCTGCTTGCTGCTTGCACGTAGACACGCCCCCAAGAAAAGATGTGTCTGTGCTTGCGCTGCTGGAGTGCATGGAGTTCATCTGCATGCCTTCAGGTTGTCAGGCAGCTCCGATCGGCCTGCATATCCTGTCAACTGCGAGTGCTGAAGACACGTGCGCCAGGTGCTACTTCCATGCTGCAGGGACTAGGCTTTGCTGACTTAGAGTGAGTTGCGCCCAACTGGGCCGCTCCTGAATTCTAGCCCAGTATTGCAACGGCACTAGGAAGAGTGATCTCCGTCGTAGTGGCGCAAGAGGAGGCAGAGTTTCATTCTTTGCCACATCATCAAGACTGCCACTGAGATCAACTTTCTTGTGCTAACCTTCACTGTCAACATGACTGCTCTTACGCGCTCGCTGAAGCCTGGATTCATGGTGATGTTCACCGCGCAGGAGGGTACCAACCTGGCAAAGTCCCCTGCTACACGACCACTTTATCTCCCTGCAATATCGTAGCATATCGTAGCTATGTATTTGCAACCCCAGTGCCAAGAATTGTGGGATGTGTGTTGAAGAGCCTGACGCAAAAACTTCGCAATAATCATGTTTGAAATTTGTGATTTGTTAGGACCGATGACTGCCAAGTAAAGCCGTTCATGCATCTGCCTGATCTCCATCTCTTCGAACCAAAAAGTCTCTCTCTTGTCTCGGATGGCGAACTGGATTGTCTGCACCTGGTTGCAATATGTCCCAAGACAGTGAATTCTGTCATTGGTGGGTTTGTCAAGCTTTGTATGAGGTCAATGCGGCAGAAGTACAGCGCGGTTCTCAGTAGCAGCTGGCAGGGGTCAGGGTCAAAGTTACTTCCCTGGTTCTGTGTTTGTCGTTGTCGTGTAACGCCTGGCCTGCAATTATAGAGCAATGCTCCCTCCAGTATTACAAGCAGCCGGATCTTTGGCAACAAACAACTGCGATCGGAAACTTCTAGCTAAGCCCTTGGACATTGTTCTCACAAAAATGCTCCACACAGTGCTTTCCCAAGACTGCAACACCTCGTCTCATGCATTGCCGCATTGCAATTGTAGCCAAGCACCTGCTGCGACACCACGGACAGCACCTGGTGAAATCACCATGTGAAATAATGTGAAGAATATTTTGTAAAGCAAAACTTGAGGTGCCTAGGGTGCATGGGATCACTTGGTGCCTCAGGGGAGGTTTCATGCTGGCATCTCTCTTTCTACAACAGATCTGTTCTGTCCGTACGAAACAGAGGGCACAACACAGAACTCGGAAGCCCCTGTTTGAGCCTCGAGGTTGATGCGGTTGAACTCATCGAAACAGCACCAGGCTCCAGAGGAAGCAATACCCTTGAAGAATTTGCCCATGGCCTTGGGAACAGGTAATATTTGCATTTGTTGATCTTCCTGCTTCCCAACAAGATTCTGGCAGCACGTCTGGGACCGGGGCAATGTAGTCCAGGCCGTCTGAACAGTTGAATACCTGGGCAGAGGCCATCAGTGTCCACAAAGCAGGCATGCTAGCACTCCATTTTCTGTTCAGCTGTGCTGCAATACAAACTATGCTTTGATTTGGACTGAAGTGTAGAACAGTGCAACGTTACACATGCCGTGAAAATCTAGCAAGCAACCAGGGACCCACACCACACACTGCACAGCCACAGCTTTCGCCAGATCCTGCATATGGCAGGGCAATGAGGTGACGGAATGACTTGCCCATGCAATCAATCATGTGAGGGAAAGGCTTTGCCATCACTACTCTTCATATGATTGGGGAACTTGAAAGACGAGCACATGTCATGGCTATGATGTCCTTGGTGCTTTCCGTCTTTCCGGTGCCAGCAGGGCCTTCTGGCCCTCCGCCGTAGTACAGGTGGAAGGCACCCATAAGCCTGTCAAGGTCAATGCTGCGTTCATGTACCCGGCAAGCCACCACCATGCAAAGTTCTTCCAAGGGAACAATGGTAACCGCCCTACACCTTGCATCAAAACCTCAAGCAGGCTGGCTCTACGTACGGTAGCAGCGGTCAGTCAGGGGCGTGATAACCAGTCCTTAGCGAATGGCAGATACATCGGGTGCCAGCACATCTGGAATACACCTGGATGCATGAATGAATTTGTTCTGCAGATTTAGCGGAGCTGCTGTCACTGTTACCCAGATACTCAAAGCCATAGTACAGGGTGGCATTGATGATGGAAACCTGCAAAAGCCCAAGCGAACTGCTTCTGAAAACGCCAATCTATGGACACAGTCACAGCATGCACTGAAGAGGACCTCGCACTTGTCCACAGTGCTGGGCTTGCCCGTATCCTCGCGAAGTTGGATGTTGCCCGAACTCCAGCTTGAGCATCCAACACAAAGTGTAAGGAACCGGACGTGAATGTCCTTGTGTCGGTCGTTTGTGAAATGCTAAGCCGGAGCAGGGTGAGTGTTTGGGTGCATGCTTGTCGCGATCGTGCATGAATTCCCGGAAGCACGGCGACGCGTCCGCATCACTCGGGCATGCACGGGACCACGTCTCCAGGCGCTATGCTGCAGGGCTTTTGCTGGCATCCCAAAGCTCACAAGGCAGAGTTTGACCAAGCCCACCGCTTCGTCACATTGATTGACACGCTATACAACTGTCACACCAGAACTTATGTGATGCATTATGTGAACAAAGATCTAATCTCACCTCTTGATGTCTCCTACAGCCTTTGCACGCTGCAAACAGAAAGTGTCGTAGGCCAGCCCCCTAGAACCAAGAAATATCGAGCCCTGCCCGTGTGCATGCTGTCCTTCAACGTGATGGAGCCTTTCTGACGCCAGTAGTACCGCAGCTGTGCTATCCAGTCGAACTCCTGCGAGGAAGGGCTGGCATAAGTACGTCCCACTAGCAGTAAAATGACCCTCTGCCTGACAAGCGCTTCCACAATACCCGACCAAAGGAAGAATTGCCGGAGGGAAGCAACTACTTGCATCCTCTGGCCCTAATCTGATGAAGATTGGCTTGTGCTCAAACAAATCCCCAATTCGGTGTCATCCCTCTTATAAGGATCCACGAGTTGAGAAGACCCCCATTAATGAAGGATCTCATCTGCCATGTCTTACACCATCCATTCTCAGCCGTCTCCCCATCTTGCCTTTGAGCTGGATATCTTGGCGTCCTTCAGGCTCAACACCTGAATCTACAACTCTGTCTTGCTTTGCAATCTTCACTATCCACGAAGTTGTGAGCGAAGCAGGATACGCAGGACTGAGACCGTTCCAGAACACAGGTCAAAATACTGAAGGAGCCGGCTACATCTCTGTTGTGCACGTCAATCGTCACCAGAGCCCCGAGAGTTTGCCTCCCAGGCATCCATTGACACATTTCTGTGTTGATGGTGGCTGCTAGTCTGCTAGGCGTCACATTGCCTCACGACATCATTCAACTACTGGCTCTGGCAGGTCATAAGTCACGAATCATAGGTTGTCCAATGGCAAAAACGCCTAAGAAAGTCAGCTCAAGAGCTGTGCCTGGATAGCTTTGACAGGTCGCCCCGCACCAAGTTCACCAGGCCGCTGAGCTGTTCTGGCACACACAACACCCTTTGCTTTTGCGAGAGCAGCGCCAAGACTATGGAGTGTGCATCGAACTGGCTGAAAATCCAGCATCTGAGACGTATCTGCTCAAGACAGGCAGAATCACCCACGCTCTTCTTGTAGTAGGCATCCAGCTTTCCAGCCCTGAGCTGGCTCTCTCTTACTGCCAGCAGCGTGCACACTCAATGAAACTATTATGTACGGCAACCTTTTCATCATTCCTGCTCCTTGTCTCCAGTGGAACACCACTTCGCCGGCGCTATTAATGCGTGAGTGCTGAGTCGGCCACTCAATGGCGGCCGCTACCTCTTGAGTCCAGTAGACGTTATCAATGCAGATGACCACCTGTGCTCACTGCCATGTCAATTGCTGCATGAACATGCTCTGCCAGAAGTCGTACGAATCATGCGACTACTCTTGCACCCCAGACAAGTTTTTTGCTGTCCGTGTCATCGTGAATTGGATCTGGCACCGGGATTGGTGGGACTAGGGATGTGGATTGGCGCGGCTATGCGCAACTATACAACTATCTAGCTTACTTGTATCTCATTTAGTTTGGTTGAGCCACGATATCCTTCAAACATCACCTGGACAGTGATCACGGCGTGCACTAAAATTTGGGACCCATGTAGACAGGTTTGAAGACTGAGCCACCCGCATCGGATTTGGCTCAGGCTTGAACTCCCTAAGAATGGTGGGATCCCACAACTACTCAAAACGTGTAACGGAACAAACTTACATCCCCACAAAAATGCTGACCCTTAACTTCAAAAAAATCTCCCTGGACGTGTTGGCAGTGCACTCGCACCTGGCCAGGCCATTCCAGCACCCACTTCGTGCCTCAGACAAAGGAATCCACTCTCCAAGTGCTCAAATTATGTCACTCAAGGTAGACCTTTTTGGGGAATGGGTGAGGTTGGGTTGAACGCTGAAAATGCAGCATGCTCAAATTTTAGTCTGGCAGGAGCTGTGATTTTAGCACCGCCCATGTCATCTCTGTCCGTCACACACCAAATAGCTGCAACAACTTTAGCGGACAGGCATTTTTCATCGCACTCAGCCGTGTTGAAGGTATCTGACCTCAGAAACAGCTCGACTTCCTGCGCCTTCTCCTGCCCAGACGCCAAAGCTCCTGATTGGCAAACGGTTTCAACATCTGCTATTGCAACATCTCATGCTGCCTTGTAGATATCCAGACCATCTTGGGTGGAGCCCTTCTCCGGCCAGGAAGAGCCTGCTTTCTAGAAAGCTGAATAGAAGACAGTTGCTGCGTCACTGCTGTCAGGTGCCTGTCGTGTCTGGCGTTGACAACTTCCCAGCTGTCACCCGCCATGGAGTTCGTGGGCAGGAAAGAGTAGGAACCCCTGAAAAACGGGTCAGAAGACCAGCGCGTCACCTGACCATGCGCAATAAAACATCTCATGGCCGGGTTTCAACTTTTGCACCATGCGGCCAACTAATCTGACACAGCAAGTTGCAAGCCTAGCCTCGACTTCTAAGATGGCCGGTGGGTCCACATGCATCTCCTAAGTGTAGCTGCTCACGTCAATTGCACGGCTACGATCTGTCTCATTGTCCCGCATCGGAGCTAGAATTCTGCAAGGCTCTGCCAGCACAACGGCCAGCTCGCGCTTCAATTCCTGGCAGTACTGTATAGCAGCAAACAGGCTCATTGTGCGATGAATTAGTCAGGACTATCGGACTAACACATGAGACAACGCTTATTATGACTGATAATCTTGTTCCCAGATAGTCTCCTCGTCCCCTCCTCCTCCTCTCCTCCTCCTCCTGAAAGCCACACAACTACCAGTGGCTGCTGCTGCCTAAGCACTGACCTGAGACCCCGGAACAGCAAACCCCGAACCCCTAAAGCCCCGAAATCCCTAAGCCCCATCCGAAACCAGGCCTCCTTTGGCAGCTGCTCCGCCCGGCGCCCCTCATCCCCTGTGATGGTGACAACTGCCAGGTCAGCCTCTAGTGGTTGCCAGACCTGGGCTTTGATGTAAGGTTTGGGGCTCTAGGGGGTTTAGGGAGGGATAAGGATTAAGGGGTTTAGCCAACCTTAGGGTAAAGACCAGAGCGTCCTTTGACGAGCTCAAATAAGCAGACGAGCTCGAATCCGCAGTATGTGGAAATGGCCAGGGTTGAGCATTCCAGATTCAGGCCATAAGCTATACAGCTCCGGGTCTTTCACATGGGCTTAAGGATGTTAGGAGGGTTGAACGGAGAAGCTCCGATGACAGTCGCTCTTATTGCTAGACTTCTATGGTGCCTGCAATAGCGACCATTACGAATAGCTTCACCCATGCAAGCTTGAATTGCTGTCAAAAACGTTCACCGGGCGGCCACGTATCGGCCACGAGGTGGCCCAGCACGGACAGCATAGCGGACAGTGTCATCCTGGGCGTGCAGAAGTTTCGTCAAATTGTTGACCCTGGAGGCCCTGTCACAAGGATTTCGGGTGCCGCTTTCAGGCAGGGCTGAATTCAGGTGCTGATATAATGCGCCATGGTTCTCACCATGTGTTGGAACTTATCTGAAGCCAAGCGACCCATAAGGAACCTCCAAACTTGACAAAAACCTTGGTGTAGTTGCACATGGTCCTTAGGGCCAGGCAACACGTCTTAAATTGCTCCTGAGAAAGCTATCTCACAAAGAAATGAAATGGAACAATTTGTTGCTTGTGAGCAAAGCTATTTACATTTCCAGCCATTGTCTAGGCAATCTCTAAACAATTGGATGCCAGGTCAGCACCTACAACACTTCAAGCGTTGCTTCTCAGCGTCATGGAGCTAAGTGCCGCGGTCATTCGTCTTGGCAGCGGCGGTTCGAACGCAATGTCAGCAGCATTTAGGACTCCAATACTCACCTACATCAAGAATGCATGAACAATTTGCTGAAAGAAATAACCAGAATACAATCCAAACTACAGCCTAAACTTTCAGACTGAATCGATGCGACCAGGAAGCTGTGCACAGAACCGCTCGGGCACAAATTCGTCTTCCATCACGACAAATCGCCTCATGAGCTTCATGCACTGTACTCCAGAAGCAAGCAAATTTTCATGAGAGGCATGTTGCAAACGACAAAAGTCACCCCTGTCAAACATCTTGTGCCTCCGCATGGTCTGGAGCTTGGACAACTCGCTCTACGATGGTGCTGAGGTGCACTTGGGCGCCTCCTTGCGAGAGTTGACGTGGGTCCCATGAGGCCCTGTGTTACTGCACTGGGTGGGGACACAGCGGCAGGACAAAACAGTGAAGAACAAAGATGATGCTCATTATGCTCGTTGCCAGACGACCCAAGCAAAAGCTTGAACGGTTTGCCTTGCCTCAGAAGTTCCGGCTCACATAAACAACAAACCCCGCAAGAGTAACAAAAAAAAACAGCGCGATGCAGCGCTCTTCATCGCTCGATCTTGCTTTTGTTCCATGAGCTGCACGGAAGTTGTAGCTGGTCTATGCTTTCGCACCCAGAGAATTCTGAGTTTTGCGCTCTGGCCCGATGTGATCGTTTACGGGCGAAGTGCATGAATTCATGGAGTTAAACTCCAGTTTGTTTCAAATTTGCGCCTCTGCTCTGAGGGACGCGACGGCGCCTGACTGGAACTCCATGCAACGGCAAATCTTTCCACGGCTACTTGTGAACTAGACTTACGGCAAGGGACCCTGCCCTGCCGGCCTGCCGTGACTTCAAGAAGAATCATGTCGTCCGACAGCCAAGGCACCGTCCGATCGCAACAAAAGTGTTCATCCAACTTAAAGCTCTTGCTCTCGTCTTCCAGAAGCGTCGGTTCCAGGCACAACACTCGCAAACCACTGAAGCGGCACCAGCATATGTCATGAAGCAGCCGATTTGAAGATGGTGTCTGAGAAGTCACAGAGGAATTACAGCGACATCTTTTTCTCCAAGAAATTCACAGCAAGTTCCACCAGCTTCTCAGTGGCGTCGGGACTGTTTCTGCAGTTGCCCTTGTGAGCAGACATCAATAAATCTGCTCACGATATTGAATTCGATTGTTGCAGCTGGTCCAAAACAATGGTGCTCGTATTTGACGCAGGCATGGTTCTAATTCATGGCTCCGTGCCACGGGAATTCATGCTAGCCTCGTTGCCATCTCATAGCCACACCACACGACGCCACGATCCTTACCTGGCAAGCTTCCCGTTCAGCAGAGACAATCAAGACCTTGAGTGGCGAGGAGTTTGGCCACTACCTGAGCAGAAGCTCGGTTTGCTGGAGTCAGAGTCTCAAGCTCCTGTGCGAAATCCACAGGCAGGGGAGCAGCAGCCGACTGTCGGAGGGTACTTCCTTCAGCGATGCAATGCCACGCAGTTCCCACAGAATGCTCTGCTTTCCTTGCTCGACCAAGCGGCTGGTGACAGGCTCTACGAAGCAGATCTTGGCACAGTGCAGAAAGACCTGAAGAGCAACAGACCTCACTCTCAAAGGGAAGGGGGTTCACTTGTGACTTCTCCCGGGGTTCACTTGTGACTTCTCGAGAGGAGGCTCACTTGTGACTTCTCTCGGGGTTCACTTGCGACTTCTCAAAAACGCGAATATGTGACACGTCTCAGCAAAAATGCTAGGGATCACTTGCGACTTCTCCTTC